TGTGTATGCATGATTTATGTTTTGTGGGTACCTCGTGTCAATCTAACATATGAGTTTATGATTTGCTATATGGTTTACTGGAAAAAAAGGTTTTGCGAAAACATTTAAGCTTTTTTATATTTTATTTTGATGGGGCTATGTTTAGATGGTTTCAAAAGGTGTGGGGTTTTGATCAGGTGGAATGCACGATCCCCAGAGATGATGGAGAGCTGGTATCGTACATTGGATTTAGGGTGCAGCACGATAATGCCCGTGGACCCATGAAAGGAGGAATCAGATACCATCCGGAGGTAACATTTTTTCTACATTGTTATTATTTCATTATTGGAATATTGTATTTCTATTTAGATTGATCTTTCTTTTTTTTTTTCAACTTATATTTCTGGGGTTGATGTTGGGAAACTGATTATGATATTTGGTGATTAAGGGCCTTTATATTCTGAAATTAATATGAAGATATGAAATTTGATGATATATCTGTCTTTATTTGGTAAATTTTAAGAGCTGCAAATATTTGATACTTTAGCCTACCTACCTCAATTAGGCTGCTTTGTAGGAATCCTTGTATACCGTTATGTTTATTAATTATATATCAGAGATTCAGAGGTACTTGTATGTATAGCCTATTCCGTAAGCATATAGTTAAGGTTTTACAGTTATGAGTGGGAAAAGCAGATCACACATTTGATTTGATGTCGACTATATATACGAATGATTCTTGTGGTGATGCCAATAAATGTTGTTCAGAATCATAGCCATAGTTTTCATATTATATCATTATTATGCTGAGAATTCAAATTTCTCCTTCGAAGGTTGACCCTGATGAAGTCAATGCTCTTGCTCAACTGATGACCTGGAAGACTGCTGTGGCTGATATTCCGTATGGTGGGGCAAAAGGTGGGATTGGGTGCACGCCCAAAGATTTAAGTACGAGCGAGTTGGAACGCTTAACACGAGTCTTCACGCAGAAGATTCACGATCTCATTGGGGTCAACACTGATGTGCCAGCACCTGATATGGGAACTAATGCTCAAGTGATTATTGCACCCCCTTTCTTTAATAGTTAGGCCGTGCTGTTTAATTTTTTTTTTAAAAAAAAAACTAGAAAATAATTGGTTTTTTTTCTGATTTTTTGTGTTAACTAGAGTTTATTTTTGAAAAAATTAGTATGGTTAGTTGTTAGTGGGATTTTATGTATTAAAATAATATTTAAAATTTGTACCAAAAAAATAATATTTAAAATTGATTTAATGTAGAAGTAGAAAATAAATAATTGGAAATGATAGGTAGTTAAAATTATGTGAGTGGATGAATAGTGAATTAAAGTTAATGTGATGTGTAAGAATGGTTGAATTTTATTATTTAATTATATTGNGCAATTAATATACTCATTCTTACTACCCTTTCTAAGTTGTGTGCTTGTATTTGATGCATTAGGACCTGGGAGGATCACTGGGAAGAGAAGCCGCAACTGGGCGTGGAGTTGTATTTGCTACTGAAGCCTTACTCGCTGAACATGGGAAATCGATAAAGGATCTAACATTTGCCATCCAGGTATTAGTTATTACTTATTACTCCCACCCGAGTAATTTTTCTCTTGATAATTACTAAAGATTTTAACTTTGACAACATTGAATGTTTGTCATATCATTAAGGGGTTTGGGAATGTTGGATCATGGGCTGCAAGGCTGTTACACGAACTAGGTGGAAAAGTTACAGCAGTGAGTGACATAACTGGAGCAGTCAAGAATTCTAATGGAATTGATATACCCGCACTAATTCGGCACAAAGAGAAAACTGGGAAATTATCTGATTTCAATGCTGCTGATGCAATGGACTCGAACGACTTGCTCGCTCACGAATGTGATGTTCTCATACCTTGTGCTCTAGGCGGCGTTCTCAACAGGTTTTGGCTTTTTTTTTTCTTTACTGAAATTCATATATGTATATATATATTATTTTGAAGTTGTATATGTTCGTGTCTATTTTAATGGGGAGTCTACATGTATGCAAACATCAAGTAATTTTAATTAATTGTTACAATTGTCTTTTTTTTTTTTAAGTGACATCTGTTTTGCATGTGTGCACGGAGGACAGAGATTTATGTTCTGTGTACCGCTTTTATCCTGAAGATAATCTTGAATTGATTAAGAATTTAATTTGACCATTTTCTTTTCGGAAGTCACTTTTCCTATGGACTTCAGTTATTTCCAGTCTATCATGACGAACCTCTCCTTTTTGAACTAAACACTAAATAAAGCATGGATTTACTTAAATTTTGTTTGAGTATGTTATCATCAAGACATATAAAATTGCCTCTTGTTTATAGGGGATAAGATGAAGACAGATGTTCTGTTTTGAATTCTGATTTATCTTCTCAAAGGATTGTCTATATAACTAGTGTGTACCCCGTGCGATGCACGGGAACAATATTAAATTAATAATATTATAAATAGACCTTGAGTTTGAGTCAATCGCGGAAGTAAAAATTACTATTGATCGTATTTAAAAAGAGGAAGAAAAAAAATAATTATAAATAAAAGAGGAGGATAAACAATACTTAATAATTATAAATTAAAGATTCGGGGTCAAACAATGTAAAATGATTTTGTATAAGAGAATATAAAAAAATTTGATTACACACTATTTCAAAATTATTATTATACTTTTTCGTATGGTTAGCTTAGAATATTTGTAAAAATATTAGTAATTAGACCGATGAAAATTAGCTTCTTAAAGTAGATAATGAATTTCTAGTAGTAATTATAAATTAGTTTCTATTTTATTTTATTTTTTCTTTTTAAAGATAATGGATTTCTAGTAGTAATTATGAATTGATTTCTATTTTATTTTATTTTTTCAAATCTGTATAGATAAAAGATGAGATTTTTTAAACACCTAAGATCGTATGCAATGAGATTTTATAACAGATCAAGAGATAAGCTAGTGTAGATTTATACTAAAAATAGAAAAAAGAAAAACAAATATTTATTGTTAAAATGATAAACTAAGAAACAGGAAAAAGAGAAACAAATCTTTACACAATTAATGAGCGGATTTTTTGCCTATTCAGATTTGTCCAACAATTACTATATATAGAATATATTTAATGACTTTGGCGGGAAAAAATTTCTAAATTTGTAAAAAGGTTATTCTTTTTATATAATGATAGATTATTTTTCTTGGGGAGCTCTGGCTTAATACGCATTTGGTTCTTTTCTTGTTTTGAAGAGAAAATGCAGGAAATGTCAGGGCCAAGTTCATCATTGAAGCTGCAAATCATCCGACTGATCCTGAAGCTGATGAGGTCCCAATTATGTCTCTTATTTCTTGCTCTTTAGTTTCCTTCAATTCTTATATTTCACATTTTATCATAGCTTAATGTGGTACTTCTGCAGATTTTGTCGAAAAAGGGCGTTGTAATACTTCCCGACATATATGCAAATTCAGGAGGAGTGACTGTTAGTTATTTCGAGTGGGTCCAGGTAAACATTCTCCAACATGATCCAACAATATATTACAATTGCAAATTTTAATTCGCGGCCTGTCTAAATTACTACTGCTAACCTGAATTATTTATTCCATTGTTCATTTTCAAGCAAGGTTTTTTCAGATATGACACCATTAAAAAATTATCAACATTATATTCCTTTTACCTGCATTCCTCCACCTTTTGTTTTTTTTTTCCCAAATTTATCGAGTACATTTGTGATATTTTATCTGATGTCGCTTCTAATTTCTGCCGTGCAGAACATTCAAGGCTTTATGTGGGATGAGGATAAAGTGAATCAAGAGCTAAAAAGATACATGACTAAAGCCTTCCATAATATCAAGCACATGTGTCAATCACACAATTGCGATCTTAGGATGGGCGCCTTCACACTAGGCGTTAACCGTGTTGCTCGTGCTTCTCTACTGAGGGGTTGGGAAGCCTAATTATTATTTTTTATATATCATTAAGATTGTTGAGGATTTTTTTTATTATTTCTAAATTTTTCTTGAATTTTTTTGCGTTAGCAACAATTACTTATGCTCATTATTTGTATGGCAATGCGAGCAAGTAAATGCCTTTGCTACATGTTTCATTCTTGGGAAATAAAGCTTCATCTTATTGTTTCACTCAAGTGACTATTCTAAATTGGCTGTTATTACAGAAACTACAAGACTGCATGCACCTTTCCATATGCTTTTGATTTGACATAACATTTTTCTCTTTTCCCTTTCTGTTTTTGTGAAAGAGGTGATCAATCACAGTTCCATGCCAATGGCAGAACAGCATTTTATTCTCTTTTCCCAAGCTATTGAAACACCTGATTGAAAAAACAATCTAGAACAAATGGTTAAAAATATTATAAAGACTCAAATTTAGGGTTCCCTTTTTCCATAAGGCAGTTGGTTCCCCTCCAAAAATGGGAGTATGCTGCTTTTGATGTGGAGAGCACACGGCATTCTTTAGTAAAAGGTGAAAGAATAGTTCGCTCTGTGCTCACCACGCAGTTGCATGAGCTTCTGGTGTTGAATTTTTATTACTATTTCAATGTGGGATATCAACTAATTGGAACAGTTTTTTTTTGTCATTCTCAATATGTTTCTCCTCTCCCACAGCTCGGGAAACAAGGTAAAAATAAATCAAAATCAAACTGATGCTGGAGAAATAATCCAAATCATTATGGAAAATAGATTCTAGGGCAACTAGGGAAATTCATAGGTAATTTCAATGTTACTAATTCACATTTGATTTTTCAATGTCAGTATGTTAATTATGAAAAAATTATAAATTTTCACACCCAACTAGTCAAACTCCGTTTAAACTAACAGAACTTTAAAAAAAAAATAAGACATTAAAAAATCATAAACTTATGGAAAAGTAGGAGCAGCAACGTCACATTTATAAATAGGTAACTCTAAAACGCTCTTGCAATTGTGCAAATTATAAATGTAAGAAATATTTCATTTCAACTATAGATATAAATAAATTGAATACGATGGACCAAAAGCTAAACTGAGAATTGGGCAAGGGCCGCACGAACGCAGACCCCACGAGAAGTCACCAACCAAGGCCATGGGCCTCCTTGATCACCCATTGACCCCGTCCAGGTGAGCATGTAATCCACCGCACTTCCTTATCATTATATAAATCCAGCGCTCAGTTAAAAAACGTTCTACTTCCCATGTGGGACATGAGTTTGCATTGTCCAGCTTTTGAGTTTAGTCAATTCCAAACGAGCAATAATAAAAAAAAGTTTCATAGCCATCAGCTATTTTGGTCTTCTGAAATTTAAAATTTCATTATAAGGTTTAGCTGCTATATATTCAACAATTAATGACCAACGTAAATTTTTGAAAGGAGACTGTATTGCAACGATCAATGCATTAAGGTTGGTTTATAGTTGATCTTGGTATTCAATTTAGTTTGAGCTTCTCGCATATATTCAATACATTGTTCAAAGCGAAAAACCACAGCCCTTTACTCTGTACACAAGCAAATGTGTACATAGTTGTGAATACCGAAAGTAATGATGCATAATGGTGCCAGAAAAGCGAAAAACTACAGCAAATTGCTTTTTCTCTGGTTAACTTATTCATAAAAATTATGTTCCCTGAGTTATGAGCTCATCAATTAATCAAGCTAAACTAGATGCCTTATGCCACTAGGGACATATATAAAATTTTGAGCTCAAAATGCTGCTATTAGTTTGTGCACTGAATAAGTGGATCAATCTTATAGATTCCAATTTTCTAGGGCCAAATATATTATCAGCTCCTGCATCTCCTGGACTCAAGTGACATACTCACTGCAGATAATCTTTTAAAGACAAAACAGTTAACAGTTTGAATTGTAAGAATGGTCTAAAATAATAAGACTTCCAATTTTTGGTGTTTCTCCAATTTTTCATTTGTAAATTAATCATGAGATAAATACTTGGGATTGGTGTTAATCGAACTGAATGAGCCGAACTTGAGCATTTCGAGCCCGTATTCATCTACGTACAAACACTGTTCATGTTTGTTCTATTATTTGAACTAAAAATTCATATTTGAGATTGGTCATGGAATTAGTCGTCAAAGTTCGAGATTGTTCGTGTTCCGTAGTAAACAATATTGCTAAAGTTTTTTTTTATTTACTCTTATTTGAGTTTATTCAATATCGTTTGAGTTAAAAAATTAATTTTTTGTGAACATGCTCATGTTCTTTCATTTGTTACAAACTAATTTAAATTTTCGTTCCAATTCGATTTCGAACAAGCTTTATTCTAACTCAAATCCAACAAACTCAAAACTTTCATTTGTTTTCGAACAAGCTTTATTCTAACTCAAATCCAACAAACTCAAAACTTTCATTTGTTACAAACTAATTTAAATTTTCGCTCCAATTCGATTTCGAACAAGCTTTATTCTAACTCAAATCCAACAAACTCAAAAACCCAACGACATTTTATCAAAATTTACTTGTACAAAATTTTTCTAAATTTGTTTGTTTCAAGACACGTTATTGAAAAAAAATTTCTCTAAATTTGTAGGGCCACTTACCAAAAGAAAGTGGATCCCCTCCAAAAATGGGCGTATGCTGCTTGAAGTGTGGAGAGCACACGGTATTCTTTAGTAAAAGGCGAAAGAATAGTTCGCTATGTGCTCACCACGCAGCTGCGTGCAACTACTAAACATTTCTGTGGTCATTTATACTGGACATTCTGCAATCAGAGGTGTATTCCTTTTCGATGTGGGAACTATGCGGCTATTTTGTATTTCACAAGGCAGATTAGAACATAGAAGTCAAAATTGCTGCTATTATTTATGAAATTATATTAGCATTTTAACATCTTACACATTTCTGGTGATCATATTTTGTTTGACAGCTTTCAAAATGGATTCTTACGTGATCACACGCGAATTGTTAAAGTTAAAAATCATTTGGTTGAACTCTGAAGTATAATTGTACGGATGTTAGGAATTATATCTGACGATAAATTTATAATTGCACGGATGTTAAGACATGAACTATGTGGTAAATAGAGGTGTTAAATGGTCCTTGGCCCGACGGGCCGACCCGTTTAGCCCAGAAAAAAAGAGGGTTAGGTCCTTTTATTAGTAGCCCGTTTAAATCAAGGCTTTTTAGGTCCGGACCGTTTAGTCCGAAGCCCGCTAGGGCTGGCCCGTTTAACTAGGGTTGGGCGGTGTAAATGTTTGCATCAAGTAAGTGATATGCTCTTAGATTCCTTGTATATTACAATTTTTATATTCTACTTCACATGTAAGTACGAGTTGTAATGGATTATTATGATTTTGAAATATAATTATTAACAATATTGTTATTGTACTTCATACCAAAATATTTAAGCCAATCAGAACGACTAATAAGAAATACATGAAACATAATGATAGACGGTAAATACTAAATAGCCGTTGAAAACAATTTTTAATTAGCCGTTGTTATTTTTTTTTATATTTTTTACTCTTTTTATTTTTTATTTTTTATATATTATTATTATTATAGCCATAGCCCGCATAGCCCGTTTAACCCGAAGCCCGCTAGGGTTAGGGTTAGGTCCTTTTTTTGGTAGTCCATTTAAATCCAGGCTTTTTAGGCCCGGACCGTTTAACTCGAAGCCCGCTAGGGCTAGACCGAAACTGCTAGGGCTAGCCCGTTTAACATCTCTAGTGGCAAATCCTTCTATGTATAATAAATACAGAGTTAAGACATGAACTATGTGTTAATTTCTTGTGCGTCCTTGTAGGCCTGGACTTGTCTGTTATTAGGACTTTCAAAATAAAAAACACTTGACTAACTTAAAATTCAAATATCCTCAATAACTTTTATTTATTCTCAAAAATATATTTCAAATTCCAAATAAAAAGTATATGCCTCTACTAGATGTTTATCATCATAAATCAGGCTTCGTTTTGTTATTATGTTGAGTCTTCTTCTTGTGCTGATTATAGTGTTTATGGGCTTCCTATATTAAGGAATTATTTAGTAGTTGATGAAATCGGTTATATTAAAAACAATGTAAGTTTATAAATTTTTTGAATAACAATAACTAACGATGAATTTTCAGGATAGCGTTTAAAACTCTCTTATAAATCTTTCATAACTAAGAAATTTCACCAACAATTACAAATAGTAATTATATGTCTAGATTCCTTTTGGCTAACCTACTTTGTACTCTACCTACTTTACTAGTCTTTCGGACACGACGTGGACTTGCGTTGCACGTATATATCCCTCGAAGTAATGAAAAGATGCACGTTCCAAACACCAAGTAGAATAATCAAATTATTCTTCAAATTCCCAAGATGAACTGACACACAGGAATTTGAACACTAAATATAAAATAAAACAAACTCATGAGTTCTCTACAATATTCTCTCAATGACTCAATATGATTCTCTCGTGTATCGTCTCTGAAAAACTCGTTAACAAAATACCTGTCTATATATAACTCCATAAATAGTGGTATGTAGGTTCAAACAAGTTTTCAAATCTTTACGATCTTCTCGTTCTTCTTTGGAAACTAAATTCTCATATATTGGTAAACTCCATGCACACGTAACATGTCCCTATTCTCCAATATTGCGATGCGATTCCTCTTTCCACAAATATTGAACATCTTTGATTTGTTTCCATGCAAATTATCAATATATCTTCTTTAACGGTGGACAATGCACCAATTATCTAAAGTGAACTTTAGATAAAGGGTCAAACCCGTTTTAGACAGTTAATACTTTCAATGTCGGCTGGAATTTTAACGGACTTAAACTCGTTCTTAAAAGTCAATTTTACCTGTTTTAAAAAGTTTTTTTATCCACTACCGTTTCTTGATCCTTTCCTTCTTGACTCGATTCTACTGCTCACAAACTTCCGGTTTCATCCCTCTTCCTACAAGTAAAAAAGCTCAACTAATTATGCGCGGACATGGTAAGAATATTATTATCTT